AATGTAGACGACGATCATATTGCGACACATGGTGCCATGCCACAACACTTTTTTGTGCACACCCTAACCTTCTTCGTGTATATGAAAGCCAAAACTATTGAATGGAGGAGATCTGCAGAAACTCACTGCTGTGTAGAGTAACAGGCACGCTTAGAATTGCCACAATGATGGAGTTGGTGCAAAGCCTGGTGAAGCCCTGCTTATTGAAGAGAAAAGTGTATACAAACCGAAAAATGTAGAGATTGAACTTGTTCCTCTGTTTTGTTACCTCAACAAGATGTATGTGGATTTTTTAAGCAAGCTTGCGGGTTAAATACAGCTCCTTAAGTAACAGATAATGATAATCGTTGAGCTGTAGCACCCTTTATGTGCCTAACTTCCATGCTACCAGAAGAGAAACACGAAAACTGGGATACCGCCAGGTTGTCGAAGCCTAGACATGAAAAGTCGAGATGCAGAAATAGGGTCCGAACGATGAAACTCACTGTTGGTGAGTTCGCGCTCTAACCACTGAGCCATAATAAATGTTGAGCTGTAACATTCTTTCAATGCCCAACAGTCCTACTAATCAAAAAGGCACGAGAGCTGTGATGCTGCCAGTTTTTTCAAGGCTAAATGAAAGCAGCAGTAAATATGCTGTGTATACTTATGGAGACTTATGTAGACTTATGGCGGACTAGACCGATTATCAGTCCCTCTGCCTCCTATATTACGACATCATGGGAGTATATTGTGTGAACCAGACTGTTTTTCCGTAAGCGAAATTCTCCATCGACCATGATATCACAACAGTAAATCGATGATATGAGTTAACAATTTAGGTGTTTATGTTAATGATGCTATGAAATCCAACGTATGGACGGCAGTCATGGCAAAGCACACAACGAATCACCTTCTTCGATACTAACCAGATCATGAGGAACAGTCGTATTTGAGAATAGTCGTTTGACCGATCACTACTACTCTGAGAAATTTGTGAAGAAGTATTTGTACAGAAGAATCCAAGAGATTTCCTAACCGGTAATTGAATAGATCCACAATTTACACGGCACTAGCGCACATCACCTAGGTATTTTCTCAATATAAACAATTTTGCTACGGCTGATGAATCCATCATCATCATAATCATTGTCAGCTGTAATAACCGCGTACTCGTCGTACAGTGGTTGTAGCTGCCGCAGTTTCGTTCACCGATGTTTTGGAGGGGGGATAGGCACAGTGAGCTGTCAAGTGGTGAGGGGGTTGGCCGCGTACTCTACAGTGGTTGTAGCTGCCGCAGTTTCGTTCACCGATGTTTTGGAGGGGGGATAGGCACAGTGAGCTGTCAAGTGGTGAGTGAGGGGGAAAAGGAGCTATGCATTGAAGGCAATAGCTTGGATGCACGAGCGCCATTGAGGGCGCGACTGGACCATGTCTGATAATGTCTCTAGCCATTGATGTGGCCCGTATCGGGGTTCCCATCCAGGAAGTGACCAGCGCAGCTGAGTTTGCTGGTAATTGCTTTCATACTTCGCTGCCAATTCATTGTTTGACCGCCTCTGACTCTCTTCCACCCTTCACGTGGTTGTGCAAAAAGAGCCCTTCGAGGAAGTCGGTCGACTGGCATACACAACATGAGGCCAAGCCAGCGCAACCTATGCAGTGTGATCAATTCATCTATCGGGGATGAGTTATTTCTCCCGAATACCATTCGACGTACTTCAGAATTGCTGATCCGGTGTTCCCACCAGATTCGGGCGATGCTCCGAAATCATCGATGGTCAAACACTGAAAGTCTTTTGACGTCCTCGGCGCGCAGCGGCCAGGTTTCTGATCCATATAGTAATATGGAGCGCACCGCAGCATTGTAAACTCGACCCTTGACAGAGAAGCTGATGTTATGCCTACGCCACAGGTGACGTAGGTTCGCAAAAGCTGCTCTGGCCTTCCTAATCCGGATGGAAATATCATCTTTCGCCAGACCACCGGGACTGATACAGCTGCCCAGGTAAACAAATTTGTCTACTACCTCAATCGGTTCATCCGCAAGCATGAGATTAGGGTTCGAGCCCACCCAGTCTTGCAGTAGCACTTTACACTTTGCAGGTGTGAAGCGCATACCAAACCGCGAGGCAGAATTATTTAGATTATTTAGT